ATTTTATCAGTAGATCAATATTTCGATAAATTCTATATCTCAGGAAATATGTTTCATTTTCTGCTGCTTTTTGACATCAATATGACATCAGCAATAACATATGTTTTATTCGTATTCCCTTATATCTACGCTCTTGCTTGCTATTTCGAAAATAAAAGTCGACCTCGTAATAGAACACAGCAAAACCACCAAGAAAGCTCCAACATTACGATAACGCAAGTATATCCATTGCTATTACATTCTTATTTATTTTTATTGCTCTACGTGCGTCTCTTTTTCTGCGAAATATCCGCCTCGTGATCTCATACCTCGAACTTCGAAAATACGCTTTCTCTACCTTTCAAGATAGAAAATAAAACAATAGTATCCATAAAATATAAAGAATCTATTCATTTATTTAAAAAAGAATAGCTTTTATAAAACAGATTATAGAAATGTTAAATTACATATTTTATATAAAATACATCAAATATTTTATTACTTAAAAAAATATTAGATGTAATATATAATATATGATGAAATAACTATAATAATAAAAACATAAAAATTGTACATATATTCTTACAATAGTTTCTTACATTTTATTTCTCATAATTTTAGCGAAAAAAAATGTTTTTGACAAAAATGATTTAACTTTGAGGATATAAAATAATGACACTTGCGTGAATTGGATACTTATTTTGTTAAAGATAATGTTAAAGATTATGTTACACAGTTACCTCGAATCTTTTGTAAAAAATATTATTTATTTTTTATTGCATATATTTATAGCAGAGACCGAGTGGGTTTCTTAAAATAGTATAATTATACCTTTCATCCGTAAAAATTTCCTAAATTATAAGTTGTGGAAATTACTATACTATCGGCTAATTCGTATTGTCTAACTAAAATATGTCACGTAAAGGATGTATGATCGAATTTACATTTATATGTGTGTGTATGAGTGCAGTATAGATGTGTAGAGTATGGACGTGAAATGATGAGGTGGATGGAAGGGATGAGTGCAAAAGAGTAAATCATATAATATGTGCGTGCGCGGGATGATTCCCTCCATTTGTATCACCTAAGACAGTGCTGTCCAAGATTTGTAATTCTGAGCATTGATTGAAGTGTGTCGGCGTTTACGTCTATTGATTTTCTTTTTCTATCTCCATTAAGAAAAAAGAAGGCAATAGGCATAAACACTAATAGATATCAGTCAATATCCAAAATTGCAAACCCTTGGACAGCAACTGACCTAAGATATTAAGTTAATTTTAAGAATAAAACAAAATATTTTAATTACTCAGTTTAAAAGAATATTTATAGTTGATAGAATTTTTGTCATTTTTTGATATTTGAAAATCAGATACTTTCTTACGTTATCCGGTTTATTTTTTTACATAACGTTATGATCAATGTTATGGCAAATGTTTTAACTTAAATTTATATAATTAATTCAAATAATGTCTTGAGTAAAATTTACTTACATCCATTTCAATAGTTTTTCAGAGAACAGAGGTATTTTATTATCTAGTCATTGAAAAATATATCTTTCTTTCTCTCTCTCTTTCTCAAAAGAATATTAACTTTCTGTCTTCCTTATTGTTATTATTGCACAGATGTTCGAAATAGTTGCCCTAAACTTTAATATGTCAACGTAAACGGCGAAATAGTGGTAACAGATATCAGGAATGGTCAATGGAATTATATTAATATACATTGCTCTATTATATTGGCGCATATTTATAAATATTATAGGGTTTCCTAAATATTTTGAACACGAAGCAGTTTATAGGATCTTTTCTTCCTAAAATAAGTCATGGAATATTTCCTATAATTTTTGGTACTTATACTTAGGAAATACTCTGTATTATGGGAAAACATCGATAAACATTGTCTTTTATTATACCCCATAAAAAAAATCTAAAGAAATAAGACCCAGAAATTATGCAGCTCATCTAATTGTACTTAAATTTATATTAACTTATCCCAAAGGAAAATTTTTGGTTCAGATTTTTCTTTCTCTTAATAATTTATACGCAAAACGCAAAATAATTATCATATTGATGCCGCATTAATAAACTATTATTTATACATATGTACCTACTATAACACGTTTTCCAATATAATAGATACTAGTAAAATAAATAGATACAATAGTGTATATAACTAAATAAAAAATTTGCATATATTGCTCATTTAGTTGTACATCAAATTAATTTTGGAAGATTAAGGATAATTCATAATAATAAAGAATTAACAATCATACACCAGGCATTAACATTTCACTATAGCAGCTAGATGATTAATTTATCAAATCATCTCAGATTTTCTATGATAAAATGTTCCTTAAATTATATGTTCATGATTGGTAAAAGAGATTGGGTTGGCAAATAAAACAGTTTCAATAAATAATAAATTATTTAATAACTGGACTAGAGAATCTGGACTGAGATTGTATTCAATTCAGTTCCATAAAGTTCTTAGTGCAATGGTAACATTTATAAAATTTATTGCAATTAAGAATACAGACAACACGTTTATCTGATTAATATCGACATTACGGATGTAAGTCATGTGGACTGATTGTCGGATTTGCAATAACATTTTACCGTTGCTTTAGCAGTTTTAATTACAACAATGCGACGATGTTTACAGACTCTAGAATTTCATGTTTCCTTTTACAAGGTTTTGAAATGTACATACTGATTGAACATGACCAGCTCAGATCGAACTTCTTCTGCATAATGATGCTTGCACAATATTTCTTTGACATTCCTCCTAAATTAATAACATTTCAAAATTTTTCTTCGATTATAAATTAATAAATTTTATGCTGTTTTGAAATATGATGCTATTCACTCTGACATAGATAATATAATTAATAAAATGACAAAAGTTAAAAGATTACCAGAAATTAAATTAGAATATGTTCTAAGACATTTGCTTCGATTCAATGATAGGGTGTAGTAGTATTATATTCTACTTTAATCAAAAAAGAAAATTGATTAGTCCATGTGGACCAATTTATTTCTTTATGCATATGTTTATGCACCTATGCAAGTTTGTCTGGATAGACCTATACACTAAGAAACCTATTTTTGTTGAATCAACTAAATTTGGTTAACATAACCAAAATTATATCCAACCAAAGATTTTAGTTCATTCAACAAAATAGGTTTCTCAGTGTATAGGTCTATCCAGACAAACTTGCATAGATGCATAAACAAATGCATAAAGAAATAGATTGATCCACATGTATCAAGAGACACGGTAGTGTCTCGTGCCAAGTACACGCAGAGTGAGACCGACCGTGACTCTTTTACGCGACGCGACGGGTTGCGAGTACCCGAGATGTTGAGATCTCGATAACGAGTGAACGGATCAAGTTCTAAGTAGGCTTGATCGATAGCTTGGGGTCCAATTAGGGGGGGGGTTTCTCTCATAATATTCCGCTACGTGCCCTACGAGCGGAGATATTGCGACGCAAAGTCAAAATGTAAAAAATTTTATTTTAAGATACTTCTTCTCCTAACGCCGACGTCTCAATATTATTATGATTATTAGAAAAATGTCACTTTCACTTTTTCGACGCTGGCGGCGCAGGTATCGCCAGTTTCGATATCGCGCGCGTATTTCGAAATTAGGTCGATAGGCTTATCGGTCAGGAGGAAGATTTTTATTTAGGTAAATTAGGTATATATATAATATATATTGAGTTAATTGCTTCATGTTTATCTGGAGAGATTTTGTATCCTTATTACATCGTATTACCACCGCTGCCGGAAAAGAAGGTTCTCTACGCTTGGCAGAAAGTGCCGCTAGGGAATTTTTAAGTCGATTCTTATGAATCAAGCTTGAATCGCGGCGATGTCTAGGTATCCCAGGTTGCCGATGACGAGATCCAGATAGTGCGCTTTATAGTTTTCGGTGTCCAGGTGTAATAATACGTTGAATTCGATGTCTACGTGTCCCAGGTTGCCGATGACGAGGTCCACATAGTGCGCTCCGTAGTTTTCGGTGTCTGCGTGTATTAATACCTTGAATTTGATGTCCACGTGTCCCAGGTTGCCGATGAAATTGAATTTTTTGATAACTCTATTTTTTAAAACGTTAATTATCTTAGAAATATTCAATCCTATATATCGAAAAATGACTTGGTTGAAATATATTAAAATGAATTATATGATGTATATATTCTTTTTAATTTCTGAACAGTTATGTATAATTGAAGTTTTTAATCTACTACTAACGGATGTATTTTGACTATTTATTTAGTCCGAGTAATGTCGAATTCAGATTATTACAAAAACTTCAATAGGTAGAACTTCTTGAAAAAAAATCTTGCCATGCTTCAAGAGGTATAAAAAATTTCGTAATTTCCGACAGAATTTTTACGAAGTTGTTTTTAATTAAAAAAAAGCGAATTTTACAAAAAATAATTTTTTCCTCTTTAACATAACTTTAACTGTATAACACAACTTTAGACTGTCCAGAAATTAAAAAGAATATATACATCATGTGATTCATTTTAACCCGAACAAATTTCATCCAAGTCATTTTTCGATAGGATTGAATATTTCTAAGATATTAACGTTTTAAAAAGTAGAGTTACCGAAAAATTCAATTTTTACACAAAAATTACACTATCGGAAATATTGATCATAGACCCAAACAAAAAATACGTGTCTCTCTTTTTCAGAATGCTTCTCGGAAAAAAATTTTCAAAATTATTGGAATAGATCAGAGTCAAAACATAAAAATTTTAGCGAGAATGCCCCTAATACAATACAATAAATAATAATACAAAAGTTTAGTATTTATAGTATCATTCAACATTATATATAATGTTGTTTGAACGTTCCCAGGTAGCAAGATGACGTCTAAGACATCTTAATGGCGTATAATTGAAGTTAAAGAAGTCATTAAGACGTTATTAATATAATTAATATATACTCATTTGACGTATTACATCACTCTGCTACCTAGATTGATATTGCATATAATCTTTGTTGCAGCAACAGGACAAAAATTCGACTTCGAATACCAAAAAAAGAGTATAGATAATAAAGATGGTGTGGAAGCAATGTGTAAAGCAGAAGGTCTTTATCCTCAGCCGACTCTTGATATCTCAATCAAGTAAGTTGTCTTTGTAAATACCGAGAAATCTCAATATGTTACAAAATTTGAAACTTTATATTATTCATATTTATTCTGCTTTTAAATTGTAAAAATATTAATATAAATTTAATTAATTATAAATTATATAAAAATTGTAAATATAAAATTCTGAAAAAAAACTATTAAATCTACTTATAACAAAAGACGTAATTTAAATAAAATATGAATTGTTATAGACACATAATAATAGACAACATTTATAGGGATATTCCAGAAAAGAAAACTTCGAAACCCACAGTGACGCTCCGCGAAGATGGATTGTATAATATTTTATCACGAGTAGACTTTCTAGACGAAGAACTACCAGAAGCTGCAGAGCTCAAATGCATCCTTGACATCCCGAGGACAAATTACAGTATGACCCGAAAAACCATTTACTATTCTGGTTAGTTATATATCTTTCATGCTTTAATATATTTCTACTAATTATAAACAATTGCTTCTACTAACTTGCCAGTTTACATTAACTTTTGATGTCAACTCATAATGAATGAATAGCACGATTGCAATAACTTTGACGATGCAATTTAATAATTATTTTTAATTATATTTATGTCAAAAAAATGCAAAAACGTTTAGAACGCAATAATTTTTGGTTTTTGTATAATAAACACTATTAAATATATAGAAAATATAGACATTTTTGTATCAAAATATGTTTATTATTATAGTTTTTTAATATTATATACATATAATAAAATTATATTCAATCTATAGAGGGTTGTATATAAAGGAAAAGATGCAATTGTGAAATTAAAGAGCAAAACTATCTATGTAAAATATATTTTTTTTCTCTTATGGCTGGTTACATTTTGATCAATTTTTAAAAAATAAGTATTTTCTGAATTATACTTTGAAAAACTCAATTTTTTGCATTTTTAATTACAAGTTTTGTAAGTTTTGACAAATCATCATTTTTTAAAATCTTATCAAATTAATCCGTTTGTTTCTTTTACATCTATTTATTTCTTTACACCCTTTATTGTAATAATTCATTCTCTTTTTCTGTGTCCATTTCAAATCAAAACAAGTAGAGAATGCTGTCAAATCAAATAAAAATTTCACACAAATTTTTTAAATTATTGTTTGATCATCCATTTGTAATTCAGATAGCGAGAAGATTATATATACGTTACGGGCAAAGTCCGCATAGTGTTCAGTGTCGGCATTGCCCGGGCAATGTCAGCATTACACAACGCGACTGGGCAAAGTAGTTTATTAGCGGACATTGCCCGGTTTGATGTGGGCAAAATTGACACTGCCCATCCAGCGAGGGTAATGCCAGCAACTATTATCACATTGCAGACTTTGCTCAATTCCATGTGGGCAATGTCGACAATGCTAAATCTCCGTGGACTAACAAGCTGCGCTAAATGGACATGTCATCAGGCTCAAAGACCGACGCTCACTAAACGAAAAAGCCGACCACAACGCGTTGTGGCATATTCAAAAAGGCCACAACGCGAAATTCGTATCATGGCACTATCAATAACGCTCACAACGCGTTTTGGCAATGTGAAAATGCCACAACGCGTTGTGGACACTTATTGATGCAGTCATGACGCGATGTGGATGTATTTGATTACATGCATGAACTTTCCACGCGTGAAAAGTTGTAAATCTATGTGACAACTCGTCTCACGAAAGTGTATGCGTGAAGGCAGTAGGTTCCGTCCCCCTGCGGGAGGCTCCACTACCGTTAAACTAGACATATAGGCCGGTATTCATAGTCGCGCGGTTCTTATATTTAAGACCGTCTTAAGTACAATCTTAAGATGTCATTAACTTATCACAAAGTCGTATTGGCATCTTAAGACATTACTTAAGCCGGTCTTAAAATAAGAACCGACTATAAATACCAGCCATAGTATGCCTTGCAAAGTACATGCGTGGACTTTCCACACGTGTAAAGTTGTAAACCCATGTGGTAACTCGTCTCGCGTGGAAAGTGTACGCGTGGAGGCAGTAGGTTCCGCCCCCCTGTGGGGGGCTCCAATACCGTTAAACTAGACACATAGTGTGCCTTGCAAAGTACATGCGTGGACTTTCCATGCGTGGAAAGTTGTAAATCGATGTGGCAACTTGTCTCGGTGGAAACGGAGCCCCTCCTCTGCCTACATAAGGCTAACTGTTAATTTTCGACATTGCCCACTTGGAACCGAGTAAAGTCCGCAATGTGATAATAGTCGTTATTGACATTGCCATCGCTGGATGGGCAGTGTTAACTTTGCCTACATCAAACCGGGCAATGTGCTAATAAACTACTTTGCCCAGTCGCGTTGTGCAATGCTGACATTACTCAGGTAATGTCGATACTGCACACTATGCGGACTTTGCCCGTAACATATACATATATTAAACTTTTTTAGATATTTAGACATATCCACAATCATTTTGTGGAATTCAAAGTATGCAGATAACAATCTATTCCTTTTTAAATAAAAAATTTATTTTACTTTATTTTATATTGGTAATTTTTAAGTTCTAGGAAAAATGCAAAAAATTACCAAATTGTAAAGTCCAAATAAAAAAAATTTATTCTGCTTTTCTCGAAATGAGAAAAAATTACCCATGTATAAATATAAGTATATAAATGTAATAATTGTATATATAAGATAGATTACATATTATATATAGAATATTGTATAATCTAACCACAATTTTTGTAAAAAAAACAATGTAAAAATTAATTATTTTTCTTATTATTTTCCTATATATATACAGACAAAGATTATATAAGAGGAAGAAAACATATATATTGATATATTTTATATATATATATAATTATATATATATATATATATATTTATACAAATTTGTTACCGTACAAAACAACTTTTTGTAAGCTATTTTTTCTTTTTAGCACAATAGTATACTTTATATGTATAATTTTCTTACTTACACGCGTAAAATCTCTTATTTACAATACAATTTAAAACAATAATTTAAAACTAATCTATTAATATATTGATATCAAGATGGAAGAATATCTTATAAAGACTGACTTATCGGGCTCTTCTTAGATTGCCGGAGCACGATAATAAATATTCCAGTTTTGTCGACTCTGTAATCCTTGCTTTTTTAATTTACTTAACTAAATACAATTTAATCTAACTTATATATCTTTTGCTAATGCGCATAATGTATAAAATTTATAATATTATTAAATTAATATTAATAATGACGTTAATTTTGTATTCTGACTTCTATATTTGCATATCCCACTATATATTCTATTTTTGTCAATAACCGCAGCATAAATAATCATAGAGCAGTATATAGTTTTTATAATTGTTTTTAGCGTTTATAATATTTTTGAAAAGCATCTTCATATCGCATCGCCAAGGTTATCAAAATTATCAATTTTTTAATTATTGAACTGTTTAATTAACTCTAAAATAATTAAATCTGCGCTTAGATTAGACAGAATATGCATAGAAATGTCTATGCTTGGTTTTTGTGTTATGCAGGAACGGCTACTACTACATCTGTTACAACCATACCACAGCATAAAATGGATATCCAGGCCCTAGACAGCTCAAAGGCCAGTAATGGTGGTGGTAAGATTGAATCAATCGTGAAATTTATTAGACATATATATATATCTGACATTGAATCATCAGCCAGTAACCATCACCATTATTTTTCGAATCAAGGGCCTTCAGAATTTTGATAAAACCTGTCTATTCATTTCATGCTCGTTTTTTGAGAAGTCTTTGAGAAGCATACTCTAAAGAATTTATCTATCAATTCTTATTCATTAATCAATAGCATGTATAAATTTTTAGGATATTATAATTTTTTTTATGTTACAGGCAGTTACACGTTTTTTTTATAGAATCTTTCTTATTTCGCTCTTTTCGAAAAGTGCTCGATCACTGTTCATTATTCAATTGAGATATTTCCATTTAATTATAAATTTCTCATCGCTTTTTGCTTAAAAACTTTAATGGCAAAATTGATGAATGCTTTTGTTAATTTTTCTTATTTAATAGTGATAATATAACGTAAGTTATTTTATACAGAACTGTGAATGAAGTCTTTGCTAATTAACACTGCTATTTCTTTTTGTTTCAAGTTCTGTGTGAATATTAATAATACTCGGGTATCGTGTATTATCCAATAAAAGTCAAAACGGGCAAAAGCCCATTAGTATTATACCTTTCAGCGGAGAATTATCCTCGCAATATTAACACCCCTATATACATATACTAATGTCTATGCATTAATGCATATGCATTCCGCTCAAGTGGCCTTCATTATGGTTATGCATATTTATGAAACTCACCCGCGGCCGTTGTAACGCGCTCAATTATTGGCCCCATTAATTTTAGGAAAATGTTTAAACGCGAAAAACACTTTTCGTTATATTATAAAATTAAAAGAAAATTAATTATATAATTAAGAGAAAAACGAAGACATAAGGCATTTTTCCTTTTTTCATTATATTACTGTTATATTATCAAATTATGGAATGCAATATTTTTATTTTATGGATTTGTTAATCAATAAGAAAAATGTTGTCAAATATATATATAAAATAAATAGTAATTAATTTACAATTTATTACGTTAAAGCAGTGGTTCCCAAGCTTTTTTAGCCTAGTGCAAACTTCTGAGAATTGGGTATTAGTTACCATCCCCTCCCTGAGCCCAGCTAAATATAATAAATATGTCAAAATCAGCGACAATAACCTTTATATTACATTGTATACTTATATTTAATCTTTTCAAACTAAATAATTATCAGCTGTACATAAGACATTAATTGAACTAAAACAGATTTGTTTACATTTGAAGATTTCAAAATGTGTGCTAATTCTCTGATTAGATTATTTTTCGTGGAACAACATTCACCTCAGGTGCAACATATATTATACATATCTATGTTATTTATTTTAAAATTATTAATCGCATACTACAATTACTTTTAAAATTAATTATTTCAGTAGAAATGTGTAATTAATTTACCTTAAATAAATAAAACCTAAAAATATCCTCCTATCACCTCTTTACAATTTACTGCTCCCTGAAAACCAAAAACGCTCCTTGAGGGCGATACCGTCCAGGTTGAGAACTACTGCGTTAAAGTATAATCTAATTTTGCTGTTTTTATCAATCTTACTTTTTCTTTTGTTTTCGTTAATTCTATTTTAAAATACATTTTTATATACAAAAATACATTCACTTTTCTTTCTTTTTCCAATTATTAAGCAATTTGTATGGATTATAGGGTAACTCCGGTATATACGCCGCACCTAAGAAAAACTTAATTTATTGAGTACTATTTAATATGTTTAAGGCAAATAAATACCAATAAAAACTTTATACCTACTTGTCTACTAGTATAAAAAAATTAGAAATATAAAATATTTATTCTTTGTAGATATTTAACAAAAATAAACTTTTAGAAACCCTTGCATTTTTGCCATATATCCCATAAAGGTGGGATAAATGATATTCTTAGGTGGAATATACGTCTTATAAAAAATTACAAGTACCTAATGTTTATAAATGAGACAATAAAATGTCATAATAAGTTATAAAATGTGTGTAAAAAATTTATTAAGGTGTAAGAATGATAAACAAATTATAAAACTGAAAAATTTTAAAAAGAAAATAGACGAACGATAGATGCATAAAAGGTTATTGTTATATGATCCAAAAAAAAAGAAGGAAAAAGAATACATAGGAGATTTCGATTTTTACAGAGTGTTTGTACTATGGCATAAATCCCGCACGCTAAAAATGCCATATACCTATCCTAAACAGGTGGGATATACAAGATATCAAACTAAACAAAGAATACAAAAGCTATGCACTTGTATTTTGCTGTATTCCATCCTTTACTATCCCTTTACACTTATGTATCATGAAATAACATTAAATCTTTTACACTGTTTACAGTAATCATTTTATGTATAGGTCGTAACATATAATAGCTCGCTACTTACTACGTTGAAAAATCGATTCAACTCATGACGGTTTCATTAACATTAACAGTAAAGAACTGAAATTACAACACAATGCTAATGTGGCTTAAAGATACATAATAGAATAATTGCGAGCAAATACCTTTATTCCTTCTATTTTTTCTGACGTAAATCCCCGCGCGACGTAAGTGTACCGGAGTTACCCTATATATATATATATATATATATATAGGGTAACTATATACATATATATATAGGGTAACTATATATATATCCAAGCTATAAAGACACTCTTATTTGTGTGTAAAAAAAATATATATATATATATCGTGTTATTATGTGTTATTAAAAAATATCGTATTTTAATAACACACAAATAAGGGTGTCTTTAGATCTATTGTATCATCTGCTAATAACAGATTTTTCAGGTATTCCGGATAAAGATCTTAATTTGTGAAAATATTATATAAAAATATTATAATTTTTTAATAAAAAACACGTTTGAAATTGACTAATCAGATTGCTCAAAACTCTCATATTCAGATATGACATATTTAACTCTTAGATTCCTAACTGCGGTAGATACCGGATCTTACTGGTGTAATTTTGATTGGTATTCCTTTAACATTAGGGATTGGTAATTTTATTGCTAGCTAACTCTCTTAGTGAGAAAGTGAGATTATGTTATGTGCAAAAACATTCACAGTGCATCTATTTATATTAAACATGAATTTATCTTATATTTAGGTACAGTGAACCTTTCATGTCATACAAAAAAAATGTAATTTTGTGAAAGCACAGAAATATTTAAAAAAGTATTGTATGTTCTCTTAAATGTGATACAGACTCTGAATATATTCCTAAGAATTTTTCTTATCAAGAGACACCCGTTAGTACGAGATAGTTCTCATGCCAAGCACACGTGCAGCGCGAGACTGCTCCGTGTATTTCTACGCGAGTATGAGCGTTGCGAGTATCCGAGATTTTGAGATCTCAATAACGACTGAACGGATCAAGTTCTGAATAGGATCAATCAATAGCTTGAATTTGATTTATACAAGAAGTAAGTTTTTATTTTTCCTCTACGTGCCCTACGGGTGGAGATATTATGACGCAAAGTCCGAATCTGGAAATTTTTATTTTATTTACGAGGTAAAAATATTAATATTAATATTTTATGTAAAATAAGAGAATTAATTTTTTTTAAATTAATATTTAAAATATTGATTTAATAATATTTTTGAAAAAATTTTTGTGCAAAATAAAAAACCTTCGTATTTTTTTATTTACAATTATTATTAAGATTTTGCAAAAACGTATTATTTTTATGAATGTTACTCTATGAACTTGGGGTCCGCTATATACCCCACACTTAAGAAACTATGTAAGTCAAGTTGTATCAGAAGTTTAAGGGTTAAAAATTAATATAATTTATCGATCAATATTGATTAGAAATATCGTTTGAAAAAACATCGTTTGTGATAGATTTCATATGGTAGCTTTGATAATTCGATGCCTATCTCATTCTAACATCAATATTTCGTCATCAATAATTATATTACTATATACACATAATTAATATTACTAGCATACGCAATAAATTAATTAACGCAGATAAATAAGACAACATTGAGAAGTGTTTTCAATATTATTATAAAATCATGTCAATATTATGTATTTAAAAAATGAACGTCTTGAGGCACTAATTGATCATGTGCTATATTGTGCAATATATTTCCTTGAATGTGCGAGCTTTGGGCAATGTAATCAGCCAAATTTAAACGTTTCTCATTTGAAAGTTATTATAATCTCGACATTTTAGTATTAGAATTTTTATTCTTGAATAACCTCAAGAATCTGTCATTACCTGATGTGAGACACTGTATACTATATGAAGAATATTTTTGGACTTATATGTGCTGATCTACTTGCAGGCAACTTCGTCGACCGTGCATCGATTAATCTTATCCTGTTACCGATACTTCTGGCTATTTTCATTCTGTTTCATTAATAATACAATCGATAGGTAAGTTTAAACTGATGTTGGGTTTGACTGGTACCTCTATGATTTTAAGAAAAAATTGATCCTAAATTACAGTTTCTCTCTCTCTCTCTCTCTCTCTCTCTCTCTCTCTCTCTTCAAAAATTGTTTCTAAAATATTTTATAATATACATTTTATTATGAAACATTTATCAATCATATATTTTTGAAAAATAAAAATTATGTATTACAAAGCGTGTTTTTACAGTTTTTTTAAGTTTTAGAAAAATAATATAAATCATTTTCTAATCTTCTTTATATGTAGATATGTGATGGATATACATATAAAATAAATTATATTTTAAAAACATTTGAAAGAATGTGAATGCAAAGACAAAAAACAGGGTACAAGATTAAATTTAAAAAGTATAATTGCGAAATAACAAAGAATTTGGTTAAATCAATATTCTTTAATCGACAACTTATACATAAAGTGATAATAAAAATACTATATTCTGCATATATGTATATAGAACATTTTATTACACTTTTTTGTCACGTCTCGATATATATTCGAGAAAATAAAGTTAAGATAAAGTAAAATAAATTAAAAAGATACTTTGATTTATAATTTACTTGATTTGTAAAATAATGATTAATGTAAAGAATTGCTAGCCTAATTAGAAAAATTTGCAGTTTTTATTATATTATAACACGATAAAAAACAAGATCTAACATAAAATATGTAAAATATAAAAAATATAATAAGTGATGACATGTCTATTTGGTGATTTTTTATATTTTTTAAAGATTCTAATTAAAAATATATATTACATATATATATATATATATATTGTATATTAAAATATTACCGAAGTTTTTTATCTCCATTTAAAAGTGAGAATAAGATAATAGAAAAATCTAATATAAAATATAAAGAATATAAAAAAGGAACATAAAAAAGAATAAAAATTATTCCTAATATAAAATATACAAACATAAATTGTTTTCTTAATTAAGATATTTTTTATATTTTATATTAGCAAATATAAAAGAATGAATTGTACATAACACTTGTTATAATTAGTTGACAATTTATTGTATATAACATTTTGCAAGCAAACGATTTTATTGTATAAACATAATTGAAAATTCTGTAAGTTATATTTGTACAAATTGTGTAAATAACGCTAAATTGATTATATATTCAAATACATATATATACATGCATACATGTGAGGCAATTGAATAACCTAACCTAACGAGAATTTTTTTGTAAGTCCTTTATTAAGGAGGCTTTACAGATAATGGATGTATTTAAAAATTGGAAAAAAACTTCATGGACGTATAAATTAAAATGCGAGAAAAGTGCTCGAAAAATTTTAGCATCGGTTATTGTGTAAAAATTTGCAAAAATAAATTTCGAAATCACAGTTTTAACATGAGCTCTTATGGCAGAGGGGTTCCTGGAGACAGGAAATGAGATATTAATTATATGAAACCGGCCTAACAGAGATTCAAAAAACAGAGCTATTGGGTGCATTCGGGGAGACGCTATTAACGCTATAAACGCAAACGCTATGAACTTCGTTCGAAGAGCCAATAGCGCGACAGCGATAGCAAGCTGCCCGAACGCAGCTTAAGCGCCAATAGTATTTCGTGCCTCACCTCGAAAATAATAGCGAAAATAGCGCGAGTGATGACGTCACGCTGCCTTTACAGTGACGTCATCATCGTATATCACAGCGCCACAAAGCGTCTCCTCGAACAGTTTTGGACGATAATTGTGCTAATAGCGTGCTCCCCGAATGCACCCATTATATATAGTTTAATCTAAGCTTTTCAGAAATATCGAGAAAAACAAGGGTTATCGTGTAAAATTTTGTAATATTGGCTATTGAAACAGGCCACATCACAGTTCACGTAACGTGCTTCTTTTTCCTCTAATTAATTTATTAGCGCAGCTGTTTCCTTTCCGGTCAGCAACGGCCATCGTAGCGTGCTTCGAATAACATTTGGCAACGTCGCAGCGACTACACCCGCACGGAAACGTGCTAACCTTTAGGCTACAACTACATCTATCGTAACGCTTTGATCGTGGTCGTAAGCAATGAAGTCGTCGTAAACCGTATATCTATGCCAATATATCTAAACACATTTTTCTTCGCACGTCGAGAAAGCTGAAAGATTAGGTTATGTTCTAACTGGTTGTAACGCCAGACAAGCGTCGTAATTGTAAAGAGTTCAAGCTTAATCAACTCATATGATGAGCTTACGATAGCGATTACGACGAGCGTTACGACCGCTTACGGTGAACATTACGATAGTGTAGACGACTCAGATAGCACAGCTGATCGTTATGAATTCGAAAAGACTTCACCTTTTCAAATTCTTTAAGAATACCCGTAATTTGTCCGAAATAAACTCAAAAAGAATTCCTTCAAAAAGAATTCCATAGAAGTGACTTATGGAATTAATCTAAATGGTCTTAAAAGGAATTCTTTTTCTATTCATAATAGGTTCGAAGAGAATTCACTTAATACGCATGCGCAGTCTATAATGCTTTCTCGAGCCGTCTCGAGGCAGCATTGCAGCGTTTCTATCAGTTTCTATTTGTCTTCTCTGGTCTTCCTGGCGGCTTTCTCGCTATTTCGCGCTTCTACGTGCTTCTGCGTCAGAGAATATTACGCTTGGACGTAATATATTTACATTAGTTGGCCGTAATTGACAACGTACGTATTGGCACGACCGTTAATAATTTTTGTCGTCGAGAAGAAAATTTGAAGGTAATTAAAGCATTTTATTAATTTTCTTAAATTAATTTCTTGCAAATACTCGATAACCTCATCATCACACACGTTGTGATGATGATTAAATTTACATCTGATTTCGATTTTTACTAGGTTTTTACTCGAGATCGCACATTTTATAAACGATTCAACTTAACCTAACCTATTGTTCTGATTGTGAGAACTCGAAGGATTCGAGCTGGCTTGTCACGCTTATACATTGCCAAAGGTAAACCTATTGTTCTGATTGTGAGAACTCGAAGGATTCGAGCTGGCTCGTCACGCCTATACGTTGCCACAGGTAAAACCTTATATTGTTCTGATTGTGAGAACTCGAAGGATTCGAGGATTATTTTGCAACATTTTCTTTTTGAAGAATATTTAATCAATTGTGCTATACGGATATTGTGCGATCCCCGAAATTGCTACAGAAACAACGCTTATGCTAAAGAATTGCTGATTTATTTTGTACAGCAATTTAAGACGTTGTATGAGGAGCAATATGTTGTGAGTAACCTTCACTCTCTTATTCATTTAAATGAAGATGTAAAGATGTACGGTCCATTAGATTCATACAGTACTTTTGATTTTGAAAATCATATGCAAGTGTTGAAGCGAATGATACGAAAACACGCTAATCTTTTGCAACAAATTCATCGACGACTAATCGAAAAGTACAGTTACGATCAACATCCTCAATATAAGAAGAATCAGAAGATTTTGAAGCATCCTATACTCAAGAAGCCAATTGTGTCAGAACTACTCAGAACTTCCTTTGGGTTGCCACAGCGAGCACCGAATTCTACAAAT